GTACTCTACACAGAACAGAGAATGAAGGACTATTTTGAAATATATTAAGAGAAATTAAGGATTTGTTATGAAATACTTATTGATCTTACGCTTTTACTTATACTGTCTGAACACAACTCTCCTAATGCTGATCGTAGAATCATAGAAAGTTAGGGTTGGAAGGGACCTCAGGAGGTCATCTAGTCCAACCCCCTGCTCAAAGCAGGACCACCCCCAACTAGATCATCCCAGCCAAAGCTTTGTCAAGCTGGCCCTTAAAAGCCTCCAAGGATGGAGATTCCATCACCTCTTTAGGTAACCTATTCCAGGGCTCCACTATCCTCCTAATGAGACAGTTTTTCCTAATATCCAACCTAAACCTCCCTTGCAGCAACTTGAGACCATTGTTCCTTATTCTGTCATCTGTCACCACTCAGAACAGTCCAGCTTCATTCTTTCTGGAACCACCCTGCAGGTAGCTGAAGGCTGCTATCAAATCCTCCCTCAGTCTTCTCTTCTGTAGACTAAATAAACCCAGTTCCCTCAGCTTCTCCTCAGAAATCATGTGCCCCAGGCTCTTAGCCATTTTCATTGCCCTCCACTGGACTCTCTCCAACCTGTCCATATCCTTTCTGTACACAGTACTCCAGATGTGGCCTCACCAGTTCTGAATAGAGTGGAATAATTACTTCCCTCGATCTGTTGGCAACACTCTTACTAATGCAGCCCAGTATGCTGTTAGCCTATTTGGCAACAAGGGCACACTGTTGACTCGCATCCAGCTTATTGTCCAGTGTAACCCCCAGATCCTTTTCTGCAGGGCTGCTGCTCAGCCAGTCAGTCTCCAGGCTGTAGCAGTGCATGGGATTCTTCTGTCCTAAGTACAGGACTTTGCACTTGTCCTTGTTGAAGCTCATGAGATTTCTTTTGGCCCAGTGCTCCAATTTGTCTAGGTCACTCTGCTTATACCAGAGTCAATTAGCAGTACCTACACTACAATCAACTGAGTCACTCTAGGGTAAAACACATAAGTCCAAATTGAATCAAACTCATTATTTGATTTTAAAGCCACCAGACTCCACTAGGCTAAAAGCCCCTGGCAGTTACCCATTCACCAGCAGGTAGCCTATCTCTGTCTAACAGACTTCAACATAAACTTGAAACTTCTTTCCTGCAGTTAGTGTAGAATGATTCATGGAGTGCCTTCTAAGGCCACAAAACCCCAAAGAAGGAATTGAAAATATCTGATGTTCTAGAGGAGGTTAGTAGATTCTCCACATTAAATAATTCTGCCCCTTTTCCTGCTCTACATTAAAAAATGAATCCAGAAAACCTGTCCTTGAAAATCTTTCATTTGACTAGGCAACACTATATTGTAACCAAATGTGTGACTTGAATTCAATTTAGATTTGATTCTTGTGGGTTTCTTATCATGATTATTGGGAAAATAACAATGGGACAAGAAGTTTGATTTAGATTCACCTGAATCTAGTAAGAGGGGAACAGCTGAGATAAATATCATGGTCCAAAATCTCACCACATACTTAGTGCTGCAGACCTAAATACTACATAGTGTGACTATTAGTTTCTAATAGGAATACATTTATTTCAGAAAGAGTTTTCTTCTGAGCTATATCCAAGAGCTGATATAAATAATGCCAGACTATGCTTTATAGAAAACCACTGCTTTTGAGCATTTAAGACCTAACCTCACCCCAACAAAATCAGTGGGAAGTGGATAGATGGATCAAGCCCCAATTTTCAAGGGCCTGAACCTTAGAAGTAAACTGAAATCAGGGGGAGTTTCAGCAGAGTAAGGACAACCACTATTTGACCATGAAGGGAAGATCATATAAGTAAAGGGCAAATTAGCCTGAGATGTTAAACCAGCCTCTACATTTCTGTACGCATCACATTCAAATTGTGCTCAAAAGCAACCATGCATTAAACTATGTGGGTATGCATGAATCTGCATCTATACAGTTTTTTGAAAATCTGTCCCAGACTGGCAATAGGAGACAAATGAGGGCACGGCCACAACTGAGCAAGTTACCAGGAGGTAGACTAGGATGTGAACTTGCAGTCCATCATCATCTCCACAGTAACTGATCTCTCAGTGGAAGCAGGATAAACCACCTGGCATTTTCAGCAGAGTAAATGTGTGTACATAGGCAGTTACTGTGGAGTAGCTGGTGAGCTGTATGGTACCTTGTTCATGTAGTCGTATCCTTAGAATAATCAAGTAAACCATTGTTTCCCGTTACCATGACACTGTTTTCCTGAGGTACAGGGAGCTGAGGCTGGTCCCTGAGTACGCTGAAGGCAAGTGACAAAGTTTTTTTTTAAGTACAGCACAAGTGCTTCTGCCCCTGAGATCAGGAGCTGGTCCTTGTGTTTGGCTTCATAGGAGAGGAGGGAAATGGAGACTACTAACATACCAAATTGAAGTCCCCTCAGTGTAATGGGAATCCTCCAGTGGTACATTTGACACCTTATCCATAGGAATGGGAACTGACATAACTTTTAATACTATCCAAAGGGTTTCTAGCAGCAGTTTTTCATTAGTCATAGTCCTGATTACTGAGAACCTCCATTAGTTGGTAAAGTCAGTTTTGTAAATGGTGATGAGTTTACCTTATAGAATTAGGACTTTTGCATAAAAAAATCAATTTTACATTGAAAACCATCTGTCATAAGCTATTTATCAGACAGAATGATTTTTTCTCCCCTGCACACAGACTTTTAGGAAAGACAAGATACGTGCATTATTTGGAGCTGAGTCACTGGGTAATCATCAGATTAATGTATTTATTTCAAAGCCATCAGTATTAGTTCACAAGGTTTCCATTAGTGTATATCTTCTATACTGTAGACACCCTATGGAAAAAACAGACACTTAAGACCTGCTTTTTGTGAACAAAGTATCCATGGTAACAGCTCAGCCCCTGATTTGGGTTGGAAAACTAATTCTTTCCTTTTTTTAGGTCAATTCCTTATGAGTTACTAAATGAGAAGCATTTATGTACATGCTGTGGTCACTTAATAAAACAATATACGCAAGGACAAGAGAGGAAAGGGGTTATTTGCTTTTAAAGAGAGATTTTTTTCCAGTGAAGCAAAGGTTACTTGGGACCATGCAGAAGCACAGGCCATGACTTCAAGGTATGTGGCTCTGGGTGAACGTATCATGAGCTGGAGTTACAAAGGGGCTCATCTGGCTGATTGCTAGCATTTAAAGCCATTACTGACATCTGGGAAAAATGGATAAGCAAAAGAAAACCATGTAAGAAAACACAGGCCAATCCAGGTGTAAAGTTATGCATAGTAGGATAGCACTAGGCTGACTGTCATCATAGATTCATAGATTCATAGATTCATAGATTAAGGGTCGGAAGGGACCTAGTAGATCTTCTAGCCCGACCCCCCGCCAGGGCGGGAGAACAACAAAAAACCCCAAAAAGAGAAACGGGACTCAAATGAGTCCAGCCAGGTAGGCATCCAGCCTCTTCTTAAAGACCCCCAGGGTAGGGGCCAGCACCACTTCCCTTGGAAGTTGGTTCCAGCTCCTAGCCGCCCTAACCGTGAAGTAGTTTTTGCGGATGTCCAATCTATACCTCCTCTCCATCAGCTTGTGCCCATTACTCCTTGTTATGCCAGCGGGCGCTAGGGGAAACAGCGTCTCCCCCAAACCCTTCTGGTCCCCCCTAGTGAGTCTATAGACGGTCACCAGGTCCCCCCTCAGCCTTCTCTTGTGGAGGCTGAATAGGTTCAGGTCCCGCAGTCTCTCACTGTAGGGTCTGCCCTGTTGTCCCCGGATCATGCGGGTGGCCCTCCTCTGGACCCTCTCCATATTGTCCACATCCCTCTTGAAATGGGGCGCACAGAACTGGACACAATACTCCAGCTGTGGCCTGACCAGCGTCGCGTAGAGGGGGAGGATCACCTCCTTGGCTCTACTCGAGATGCACCTGTGGATGCACGACAAGGTCCGGTTAGCCCTGCCAACCATGACCTCGCATTGTCGGCCCATGTTCATCTTGGAGTCAATAATGACTCCAAGATCCCTTTCTGCCTCCGTGCTCTCGAGTAAGGAGTTCCCCATTGTGTAAGTGTGCTGCTGGTTCCTACTGCCCAAGTGCAGCACCCTGCACTTGTCCGTGTTAAAACGCATCCTGTTCCTGTTAGCCCACCCCTGTAACCTATCCAGATCCCTCTGCAATCTCTCCCTCCCTGCTAGCGTGCTCACCTCCCCCCAGATTTTGGTGTCATCAGCGAATTTAAACAGGTTACTTTCCACCCCATCATCCAGATCGCTGATGAAGAAAGTGATCAGCCTAAGAGTTAGTTCAAAGTGCTACAGATGCTACAACTATCTGTACAAGCCTCTTTTCTAGTAAAACTCCATTCTGAAGTAGAGTTATTTCAACACCAAACTGGATGCATCCACTTGGAAAACACAAAAGATAATTCAGCACAAGAAACTTTGTGTATAGATGGATGTAAGATAACTTCCACTTCCTCTCCACCCTTCCAAGGCATGGGGAGTGTAACTGAACACTAGTAGAGCATTCTTTTCTGGAATATTTTGTAGCAATTTTTATCTCAAGCAAATCCTCATTGGTGTAGTATCTACTTACTGTCTACTGTCACACATGTATTTTGGACACCTGTTACTCTGCCAATGAGGCCTTGCACTTCTCTGCCCATAGAGGTGCATAGGGCCACAGTTTCATACCACTTAGACATGCAGGTATGTGTACAATTATCACAGTTGTGTCTGCAATTATACAATTATCACAGGTGAAATAGATGGCTATGTAAATCTATTTGTTTAGTCCTTTGTACAGGCAATTTGTACAAAACTGATCAAATTATGCAGTTGCCTAGCTAAAGGGTTTGAACATCCTCTCTCAGCTTTTGTTGGATTGTACAAATATGCTATTTCTCATGACACACAAACTCTACTTGTTCCTCCAAGTCAGCATTTTGAAGTCAACCATTTTTATTGGATATTAACTTACCCTTCGTTCTTTATCGCCATATTCAATGCCCAAAGTATCCATGGCGCGGACAATAGCTGCCAGTGACTGAATAGTGTTGCTATAGACCACAGGCTTATACTGCTTCACGTCTTCTCCAGAGAAACCATCTTCATGGATGATCCTAAACAAATAATGAAGAAAATGATAAAGACTTAGTGAGAATGTCAGTTGGGTTGAATAAGCATTTAAACCCAAGGTGGTTAAAGGCTGCTTTTATAGTTTGATTGGCCCAATTTTTTACTTGATTATTTTTCTCTAGACCAGGGGTTAGCAGCCTGTGGGCCACAAAGAGTCTGGATCCAGCCCACAAACCAGCTCATGTTTTACTAACACCACAGCAATCTTCTACTGCTGCCTCAACCATCCCTGCTTTCTTGCCCTCTGCTGCGGCTCTTGCTTACCACCTCCACCAAGTTAGTTGCTCCAAATTGTTGCTTTCAACAATTTTTGGCAGAGGCTGTATTGAGGGAGGGAAGGGGTGTCACAAAATAACCATCTGCAAAGGGTTGGCTTGGGAAAAGCAGGGGATTGGCTTGATATATTTCCAGTTCCTATGGTACTTGCTTTTTGAAATACTGAGCCCGCCACACGTTGCATATATC